GTTGAATGTGAAATTAATGATGTGCCCTGTAAACTTTCACTCAATCCACAATAAAAACCTTAAAAAAAAAAAAAAGTAAGCAAAACTGAGAATGAAGTAAATGGTTATCTAGCAAGAAAAAGTTAAGAAAGCCCATTTTTCTTTGCGGTCAATTACAAATAAAGGAACTTCCTAGAAGGATGAAAGTCCTTGATAGATGCCACACTTTTCCTTTCTAGTTTTACTCCCTCACCCTCGTTACTGCATTATGTGGTCATTCCTGCCATCTAGTGGTGGTGGTGGTGGTGCTCTGGTAGCATAGTGGTTAAGAGTCAGGCTGCTAACCTCAAGGTCAGCAGTTCGAAACTACAAGCCATTCTGCAGGAGAAAGATGAGGCTTTCTACTCCTATAAGGATTTACAGCCTTGGAAATCCTATACAGGTTGTTGTAAGTCAGAACCAACTCCACGGCACACAACACCATCACCATACCACCTGCCATTTAGTGAAAGTACAAAATAAGGTGAAGGAATCCTGGTGTGGTGCTGTAGGATAAGCAATGGACTACCAAATGCAAGATACACAGTTCAAACCCCCTAGGCCACTCTTTAAAAGCTCTATACAGGATCCCTGTGAGTTAGAACCAACTCGCTGGCACTTAACAAGCAGCTTTTCCACAAATCATTAAACAGTCATATAAGGTACAACTATGGAGCTCTGGTAGCGTAGTGGTTACGAATCGGGCTGCGAACCTTAAGGCCAGTAGTTCGAAACTACCAGCCGCTCCGCGGGAGAAAGATGAGGCGTTCTGCTCCCGTAAAGATTTACGGCCTCGGAAACCCTGTACAGGTTTGCTAAGGGTCGGAACCGACTCGACGGCACTTAGCAACAACAACAATTGGTACAGAGGAAAGAAGTGATGAAAACTGAAGACACTTGGAATCAATTAGCTCAATGGACTAATGGAAAACATGAACATCAGTTCCCACGACCCTGAGACTAGAAGTAGATGGTGCCTGGCGACCACTAGTTCTGATAGGAATCACACTAGAAGGTCCTGGATAAAGTCCAGGGAGAAAATGTGGAACAAAACTCAAAATTATATACATAAAAAAAAAGACCAGGTTTACTGGTCAGAAAGAGACTGGAAGGACCCAAACTATGGCCTTTGGTCATCTTTCAGGTCTGGAACTGAACCCACCCTTGTGGGCCAACACTAGTAAGATATGAACACCACGGAATGGTCAACCTATTCAAAATCTTTTGAGGAGCATTTACTTAATGACAAAATTCACAAGAGCTGGACAAGGGGTTGAATAGAAACAAGAATCACAAAGAGGAAGTAGAATAACTGATTCTGCATGTAGGGGACTGCAATCACTGAAATGAAATGAAGTATATGATTATTGAGTGTAAAAGAGATGATCAGTTCTGTAAACTTCACTCAATTCACAATAAAAGGTTTTTATTATTATTTTAAATAAAAACAAGAAAAAAGCTGTATGGCGTGAGCTGCTTTTCTCTTAGTTGTCATCAAGGCAATTCCAACTCCTTAGTTAACAGTCAAGTGTGTTAACTGTGTGCACCACCCAAGAACTCCCCTCTGTTATAACAAAACAGACATTAGCTGCATCCTTGACAATTACATGAGAAGACTAGACGGGGAAAGGAGGAAATCAGGGTCAAAGAAGTACAAGTAACAGAAATCTTGGTGGGAAGTGTTAAGTATTAATATCTTGAGGTGGTACTACAGGATAATGCACTGGACTGCAAGTCAGTTTGAATCACAAGTTCTAGGGTTCAAATTCACCAGCAGCTCCTTAGAAGACCTAAACAGGGTCAATATAAGTCTGAAAAAAGTATTTAAGTAGGTCGATATATAAATGATCATAGCATCAAAAAATAATAATGATCTATAGAATATAAGCAACCCTGTTCTTTCTACCAACATAGTTAAGTGCTTTCCTGATATTGGTGAGGAAGAGAAAACAGTGAAGAAAAAAAAAAGAGAAAAAGAAAAGGTTGCACGTTTAGGGCAAAGATGTTAAACAGTCATTTTTCCAAAGCAGTATAAATGATCAACAAGCTCATGAAAAAATGTTCAACCTCATCAGTCACCGTTGTTGTTAAGTGCTGTCAAGTCAATTCCAACTCAGTGACCTGGTACAGGGTTTCCAAGGAGTGACGGGTGAGCTTGAACCGCTGATCTTGCAGCCCACCACATTTAACCCACAGTGCTGAATCAGAACCACAATGTGGTATCATTTCACACCCAACCCACTAGAATGGCTGCTTTAAAAAAAAAAAAAAAAAAGCAACAGGTGTTAGAGCAAGAATGTAGAGAAATGGAACTTTTATCCATGGCTGATATGAATGTAAAATGGTACAGTCACTGTGGAAATGTTTGGTAGAGTTCCTCAAAAAGTTAAACACAGGTGGTCCAGCAATTCTACACCTAGACAGAACTGAATTGTAGTTTCCAACAGAAATGAAAATGTATAGAAACATTCATACACTGAACCTGTGCACCAAAGTTGCACACTATTCATAAAAGTCCCCAAGTGGTAACAGCCTAAATGTACAAAATCAAAGCTTATTAGTCATTACCAGGGCAGAAAAGGACAGGGAAAGGAGGAATCAATGCTGAGGGGACACTGAGCATCTGTTAGAGATGATGGGTAATCTGGGAGTGAATAAGGGTAATGGCTGAGTGACATGATGGACCTAAATCAACATCACTAAACTGTTCATCTGAAATGGCAAATAGCCTTTTACATAGATACTTACCAAAATAAAAATAAACAAGCTTAATATTGTTTTTAAAAAGTGTATACCTAAAGTGAAGCAGGAAAGGGCCACTAATGAGAAGCTCAGATGGCCTACCTGAGCTACCCTGCAAAGAAGTATTAAAATACTTACCAATAAGAAGACTTTTTAGTCTTCTATAATCTTCAGTTAGATCAAAATCATCACCAGCAAATATTAACATAGGTTTTGTTCCCTCAGGACATTTACTATTCTATGAAATAAAAACATGCAATTACATAATTATCAAATTATAAACTTTTATATTCATTTTTAAAGCCATCAATAATGAGTACAGTAATTCATTTTCATTTTTTTAACAGTTCTAAAACTATGTTGGAGTCCTGGTGTGGCACTGTGGACTGGACTGCAAAGTCCTTTGAACCGCAAGATCGATGGTTCAAGCTTACCAGCACTCCTTGGAAACCCATACAGGGTTGCAACTGACTTGATGGCACTTCAAAACCGTGATGACAAAACTATGTCTGTAAAGACTGGTTTTAATTTTTTAAATATGAATTGGGATTTTTAAATCTTACAAGTTTTTAGGCAAAAAAGTTTTGTTTTAACTCTTACATTGCCAAATAGATGAAAGAATGTAAGCTACTTTTAAACATCAGTCTGCAAATAAAAAAGCTACACTTCCTAGAAAATAACCCTAAAAATCTCAAAAGTCAGCATCCTAAAGTTTAAAAAAATTAGGTTCTTTGAAATACTAGCTAGAATGGAAAAGCAATATAGAAAGCAATCATTTTATAAAACCTATAGAAAGTAGCTGGCAGCATAGTGGTTACGAGTTAGGCTGCTAACCTCAAGGTTCAGTCAGCAGTTGGAAACCACCAGCTGTTCCGCAGGAGAAAGATGAGGCTTTCTGCTCCCATAAAGATTTACAGCCTTGGAAACCCTGTACACAGGTTCTCTATGAGTCAGAACTGACTCCACGGCACATAACAACAACATAGAAAGTATGGGCTAATCCTCATTTAGTACGGTTAAAGCTTTTGCTATAAACCATATTTTGTCTAACTCTGGATTTTCTGTATCAATAAGAATGTGAGTAATAAAAGGATACAGAAGACACTGATACAAAAGAAGACAGGAAGTCAAACAAAAATAATTCTTTAACCAAAAGATTAATTGATGGAGAAAAGTGAGTGATCCTAGGGCAGTAGTCACCTGCTACTTCCCTGCTCACCAAAGCCACTGTTGTTGAAATTCTCTAATTCCAAACCTGAACTTACCTCCTATACGCCTAGGACTTGTCTGTCTGGTTGAGTATCCAAATGGACCTGCTAACCCTGATTCTTTCACACTTTATCTGTTCTGACGCTACTGTGGCTGCCCCTATGGCTGTGGGGTACAACAGGTAAGAGAAAGTGACACAACACATCAACTACAACTTTGGCTTTCACACCAACTTGATCACAATGCATAGTAATACACAACAGTATCCATCATATAACTATAATTAAACAAGTTATGTGAAACAACATAACATGTAAAATACTAGTAACTTCAATTCTATTCAGTTCTTTAAAAAATACTAGTCACATCCACAGAGGAGCTCTGGTAGCGTAGTGGTTACGAATCGGGCTGCGAACCTAAGGTCAGCAGTTCGAAACTACCAGCTGCTCCGCGGGAGAAAGATGAGGCTTTCTACTCCCGTAAAGATTTACACCCTCGGAAACCCT